TTATTATTATTTTTATTATTACTGAGTTCAGTTTGAATCAGCCCCTTGTTTCTCGTAGAGCTCTGGTGACGAAGTTAAGTTCAAGTGGGCGTGGTTTCGCTGTACTGGACTACCTGTGCTGCCAGAGCGCATCTGATCTCTGAGTTAAAATCCAAAAACATGGAAGCCGCAAGAAATCCAGGTAAATACAATGCTTGCTTTTTATTTCAACATCTGTTAAATATTCTTCGCATGATGTATTGCTGTTAATGCAATGGTGTTCTCTAATTTGAAACGAAATTTAAAATCGAGTAAAGAGCAAAGTTCTCTAATTTGAAACGAAATGTAAAATCGAGTAAAGAGCAAAGAGCGCACTAAAGACTGTCAATACACTCTGGAAAAGATTTACAATCTAATGTGTCAACCGCTCAAATCCATTTAAACAGCAAAACCAATAAATAAATACATAACCGCTTTGGTGCCGTTTATTTGATCATTTTAAGTATGTTCTCGTTAGATGGTCGTCGGGTCCGTGTCTGCCCTCCCTCCCCCCACTCGCACTGAGATCGCTTTGTGCATCTGTGTGTTTATATGTTCATATGTACATATGTATATATGTTTATTATCATTCAACACATCAACTAATGGAATGTAAAAGCATTATATGTGCAAAGGCGTCTATGTCTGTAACAGTAAACAGCATTGACCCTAAGCTGAACCCTAACCACAGCCTAACCACTAGTAAAAAAAAAAAGAAAAAAAAAAAAGTGAATTTTGAATTTTTGAAAAAGGATAAGTTATTCACGTGTTACACCGTGTCCTCTGTTGCGGACACCTTACAATATATATAGAAAGATATAACAGATGTTTTGATAAGCCATTTTAGAAAGATATAACAGATGTTTTGATAGACCATTTTTTTTTGTGCAAATGTAACTTGTTGTGTCTCCCAAAATGCCCAATAAACATGCTTTAAGTCATGTTGTCCTCTAAAAGTGGACATGTATGAAATCAATGTCCTGTTTCACACCAGAAAGTCATATTTTGCTTTGAAACCCCTTAACGTTTTCCTGAGATATTGATTTATGACACACAATTTGAAAATGAGTAAGATTTAAATGATCATTACAAACTATTATCATATCTCCATGAGGGTGCTCAATTGGAGTACTAAATTAATGTCAGCTATTTTTAAAGACCAAGGAAAGGGAGTGGTCATGGTGAAACTTACAATCATTTGTTATCTCTGAAAAGCAGGACAGGCCTTCCAGACTTTAAACTGAGACATGTTAAGATCTCAGAGAATTCACTAAAGAGTGATGTTCTCTACGGAGGACAAAACTCCATAGCTGGTAGCCAGGATGATATAGAAATGTGCGGAATAATGAAACGTAACGTCAACGCAAAACTGCAACCATATGTTTTATCTGTGTTCAAATTAAATAAATATCCATGTGTGTTTTTCTGTTTGTCTAGACATCATCACACTTTCCGAAGATGAGGAAAGCATCCATCCTGTGAGTATGCATTCATATTGTTTAAGTGAAGGGGAGACCGAGTAATCATGATGGGAAAAAAAACTGACTAATTCAGACAAGAAATCATGATATTCAGTTATATAAGAGACTTTTTACAGAAACTATTATATTGCTATGGACTGCAACATCTTGTAACTCAATGAGTAATGAAGTATTAATGTAATAAAAAATAAAACTATTTGAAAAAAAAATAATTATATTTATATATATATATATATATATACACATATGATTTCTCAAAGTTTGCCTGCCCCTGTGTTTCAGACGAAGGTGTCGGAGGGTGAGCCGGCATTTGCAAACGTGCAGGACGATGATGATGATGAAGATGCCCTTACTACAGAGGAGGAGCTGTGCTTAAGGCAGGACACGATGAGAGAGTTTTTCCTCCAGCAGCTGAAGGTCTTAAGAGAATCTGTGGTTTCTTCTCAGACCAAGATGCAGGAGGATTTAAAAGCCTCCAGCGAGGCCACAGAAACTAACCTGAAGGAGGAGCTGAATCATTATACTGAGAGGCTAGAAGCACGGGTCCAAACTGATCTCCAGATGCTGGATGAACATTTTAAAGCAGCTGGACATAGGGTGGAGGAAATGGTAAAGGCCATGGCGGAATCAGTGACCAAGAGGATGAACGACATGGACAAGAAACTGGACGGACTGGCTTCAAGGATCACAGCAATGGAAGTGGAGGTCTGCAGTATGGTGGCTTCTACCACATTTGTAGAGAAAAACTTTTTAGATTAACATATGTTCTCAGAGAGAGCACACAGACTGTATAGTGCTTCAGACCTTATCAGTGAGGGAGAGTGACATAATTTACTATGTCTTACATATCTGTGGGAGATACTTCCACTAATTTTAAGGCAAAATATGGTACAGTAACAGAGTTGACTCAAGATTTATGGACTCACATTTTTATAAGAAACAAATGTATTTTTAAACAATTTAATGTTGTAGGAAAATCACTATTTAGGGCTTTTATAATTAAAATGAATTAAATATTACTAAAGAAAAGTAAATTAAAATATTTTGATTACACAGTGATACATGATGGGAAAAAACGGACTAATTCAGACAACAAGAAATCATGATATTCAGTTATATAAGAGACTTTTTACAGAAACTATTATATTGCTATGGACTGCAACATCTTGTAACTCAATGAGTAATGAAGTATTAATGTAATAAAAAATAAAACTATTTGAAAAAAAAATAATTATATTTATATATATATATATATATACACATATGATTTCTCAAAGTTTGCCTGCCCCTGTGTTTCAGACGAAGGTGTCGGAGGGTGAGCCGGCATTTGCAAACGTGCAGGACGATGATGATGATGAAGATGCCCTTACTACAGAGGAGGAGCTGTGCTTAAGGCAGGACACGATGAGAGAGTTTTTCCTCCAGCAGCTGAAGGTCTTAAGAGAATCTGTGGTTTCTTCTCAGACCAAGATGCAGGAGGATTTAAAAGCCTCCAGCGAGGCCACAGAAACTAACCTGAAGGAGGAGCTGAATCATTATACTGAGAGGCTAGAAGCACGGGTCCAAACTGATCTCCAGATGCTGGATGAACATTTTAAAGCAGCTGGACATAGGGTGGAGGAAATGGTAAAGGCCATGGCGGAATCAGTGACCAAGAGGATGAACGACATGGACAAGAAACTGGACGGACTGGCTTCAAGGATCACAGCAATGGAAGTGGAGGTCTGCAGTATGGTGGCTTCTACCTCATTTGTAGAGAGCATACCTTTTCCTGTGCTTACGGCAGACCGTGCTGTTGACCAGCCCTCAGAAGAAGCTGAAGCACTGTCTTCCACTCAGGTGCCAGATGAGGGGAGCGTCACAGAGATCTCTGTGGACATTGAGAGTCTGCCTCCTCTATCTCCGATCAGCCCAGGTCAGGGTGCAGTGTTGACCACGTCAATGTACATTGAGACCATCACTGACCAGCTGTTAGAAGAAGCTGAAGCACTGTCTTCCACTCAGGTGCCAGATGAGGGGGGCGTCACAGAGATCTCTGTGGACCTTCTGAGTCTGCCTGTTTCCTCAGGATATCAGAAACGGCCCATTTTGCACAAACGTAAGCTGGCCCATTCCTTCGAGGACCTGGAACCTGAACTAGTTGTCAAACTGAGGCCCTACACAAGTCAGAAGTGTACTAAGCAGGAGAAACTGACAGGACTCCAAGCTGCGTACTTTGATCTTCAAATGGACCGGCTGAAAATCACTGGTATGTTTACATTTTCCTTTCCATTGTGCGTTGAGGCTTCATAGCTATATATCCTGTATGTTGTGCCTTGAGGCTTCATAGCTATATATCCTGTATGTATATTTATATAATTTTGGCTTGACATGAGAGCTAACTTGTTTGTTTGTTTGTTTTATTATTATTCAGATACCAAGGGCCTCTCAGACAAGGCAGATGTAATAAAAGACACCGGTGAGAGAGATGGTATATGGAGTCCTGGATGGAGCCCTCGGGGAACCAAGGAACTGCGAGTCTACCTGGGAGAGAGAATTAAAACAACTTTAAAGAGAAGAAGAAGAAGGGAGCTGGTTGTGCAGCAGGAGAAGGACAAATTAAATAAATCCTTCCAATGCTAGTTGTCTAAAGTTTTTTTTTTTTTTTTTGCCAGGGATAGCTTTAAAAATTTAAAAATGTTTCGTTGTTCGCTGATTTGGTAATCACTTTATTATTTATTCATTTTTTATTTTATTTTTATTTGTTTATTTTTAATTGTTTTCTTTGCGTGAAAGATTTACTTATATGTTTACAACATATTGATTTAAGTTTATTTTTTAATATTTTGTGTTATTCTTATTCTTGTTCTTATTCTTTATTATTATTATTATTGTTATTTTTGTGAAAATATGTGTATTTTGATTGAACTGTCAAATATGGAACCCAAACTTAAAACATTTAGCCTTTTTTTTGCATTGTTAAGCACTTTATTACTCTTTTTATTTCTTTTTTAAAAAAAATTCTGTGTTAGCATGTACGATTCGCTCATAATGTTTATAACATGTTAATTTAAGTGTTTTATATTATTCTTGTTCTCCTCCTTTTATTATTAGTATAGTATTATTATTATTATTATTATTGTTGTTGTTGTTGTTTGTTGTTTTGAATATTTTATTTAATAAACATTTGTTAAACATGTGTGCTTTTGTCAGTAGTCATTACTTTGCCAGTTTCATGAAACTTTGTTTGATTCTGTGTATTTTGGATGCATTTTTACAGTTTTCAGCACGTCAAAGTCATCCATTAAACATTGCATGCATTTCTTGTGTGCGTGTCTGCCTGCTGCTGCTTGCCTTGAAGTCAGAATTAGCTTTATTGCCAAGTATGTTTAATAAATTGTGTTTTGTATTTGTGCTGCCTTTGTACAGTTCACATTCAAAATAAAGCAGAACACACACACACACACTAATCATGGTGACACCCCGTCCCACCTTCCCTACACATTGAATGTTTAGTTTGTGCGTTAATTATTTTAGTTGTTCAGGGTTTATATTTTGTTGTTTATTTTATTTATTTATTTATTTTTACTTTTTAGTTTTTGTTAAGTGACTGTGGTCCACAGCAGAGTGCACTACAATATGTATAAACACATATGAGACCACAGTTTAAAAGTGACTTTCAAAAATGAGAGACTTTTTAGGAAATATTACTTTTTACAATACTGTGGGCACAATTTACATCAAGATGCAGAATTTATTAAACCCGTGCAAATCCTGATAGATAGATAGATAGATAGATAGATAAACAAATAAATAAAATGTCCAACACACTCCAGCTTATTGGTGGAGAGGAGACAGAGTGATGAATCCAATCAGTAAATATGGGGATGATTAGGAGGCCATGATGGTCAAAGGCCAATGGGCAAATTTGGCCAGGATGCCGAGGTCACACCTCGACTCTTTTTGAAAGACATGCTGGGATTTTAACAGTACAGTCTCACTGTCACTTTGCTGGGGCATTTGGACCTACACAGAGCACAGAGTGAGCACCCCCTGCTGACCTCACTAACACCTCTTCCAGCAGCAACCTAGCCACCTAAGTTTTTCAATTGTCAAAATGCATCAGAAGTGGCTAAATCTTTTGAAATATCAACATCAGCCATTAATGTTTTAAATAC